ATTCCGCGGGACAAAGCGCATTGTGTTGTTTTAGGTAGGCGACAGGAAGTGCGTGACTGCCACAGAACTCCCTTCTCTTGGTAGCGGACATCTAGCCTATTTTTCGGTTTCCTAATACTAGAAGCGAAATAATACTTTAAGAATATCAAAAAAAGAGTAAAACCTCGTAATAAGTGGCAAGTGTTATTGAAAAATTGACAGCCTTTCTTAAGAAAATGGCGTTTATGCGTTACTGTAAATGGGACGTTTGAAGCTCTTTTTCGCACATTTTTAAGTTTTCGAAAAACTTTATCAAAAGTACTTTGAATCACTGCACAAATGCAACAGTGTTTACTAGGGTTTACAAATGGCTGGAAATGTGCATATTAACGGCGTGAGAGATATTTAAAAAATACATTAGTATATTTTTTGAAGAAACAAAAGAATACAGCAAAATATATTTTATGTTTTCTTAAACAGAGCAATGAACGATTTCCACATGAATAATTTAAAGAATGAATTTGAAGCTGCGGAAAACAACGGCGAAATGTGCCGCACTATTTTCTTCTAAATTATGGAATCATTTGTCATTTATTTACGGGGAAGGCAAGAATCGATATGATTCTTTACCATGCTTATACTTTTCGTTGAAAACGAATGTGGAAGAAGAACAAGAAGGCATATGGATCGTCATTGACACAAACTTAAGAATGTAATTTTGTATAATGTATACATATGTTAAGAGAATTTTATTTTACTTAAAATGTGCATTGATATTCTTACAAGTGACCAAATTGGTGCATTCGGAACTCAAAATAATGACTTACATAACACAAGTATGACTTTATACAAGCCTGAAGTAATCGATTAGAAGAATTATTTTAGCCTCGCCTCGCCCTTCGAGAGCAAGCACTTCTTTAAAGTTTTGAATAACGCGCTGCATTGGAGATCTCTGCACAGTAGTGTTATCTAGTGTTGAAAGTGAGAATCATACAGCTGGCGTACGTGTACCGGTTAAGGTCAAGTGTTACCAACCTCTGCAAAGAGGTTCTTTCCTCAGAAAGTGAACTTTCCTCAAAACCCGCTAAGATTTTTTCTTCGCTACGACTTTACATCGAATTCTTACCTTTACAACATAATGAAATTTGATTCCTTTAAATAAGTATTAGGAATATCTAATTATCAAGAACTACGTTGAATCCAAATCACAGCGGTACGTGCAATGAGAGTGGCAACGCTCCCACCACAAATGCGCCAGCTGTGCTTGACGTCATAACCTCTCCTACAGTTGTGATCTGTGTACTTTTGGTTAATTATCGCAGTGGACGCAATGACAAGGCCAAAATAACATCGCGTTGGTGCACATCATAACTAGCGAGACGTAGTGTGGTTCGAGACGAGGTAGGAGTGACATCTGAGTTCGTGGCGAACGAAAGGACGTAAGTAACACAGCCGTAGCTCGTTGCGTAGTGGCAGCATGCCAACCACGGGAATCTGTTGTTACACTTTCTCCCAATGTTGCCTACCATGCCGTTCAGCGCTGAATTACTCGGTGGTGGCAATTGTAAGTTAAGACTGATGCAGTGCGTAAATACGACTGACATTTATCAGAAAACATCACAAGAACTCAGAAAAACAATTGCTAGAATAACCTACAATTGCTTGAGTAATTCATAAGTTCTTGTAAATGCATGTCTAAGATGAAGATACTGTGTTCCATGGGTTGCAAGCAAGCCTCCTAAGGCAAATTGATTGAAGTTGGAATTTGCTGAAAATCTGAAAAAAAGAACTACCGATTCTTAGTAGTTTATTATATCACATTTATTTATATTATTAGTACAATTATGTGGTTGGGGGCGCGAACTTAAATCTTAAACCTAAGCGCAAGTTTTTTTAAACTTTGCAATCCTTACACCCACTTCTTTACCAACATTAGTTGAATTAAGAATAAATTTAGAGCGTTACTGACGAAATCTGTAACCAAAAATGTTCGCCCACGTTAATAGAAACTACACTGCAATGAAAAACTATTCACTGATTTGATGGCTTAGTCCTGTCTCCGAAATTATTTGAAATTTTTTAAGACAGAGTTTTTCTTTAAAAGCTATTTGTTTTCCACAATCTTTAATTCCGTCGTGTACATTTTGTAGAAAATGTATATAAATTTTGAACTTTGAAAATATTAGCAGATTTGTGCAATTTTCAGTGAAATATGGGCAATATTAAAATATTGAAAAACTGCACCAATTTTATTTGTCACGAATGCCCTGTAAAAAGTGTTTTTCTGCCGAAAATTCGCCGTTTTTTCGCGCAGCTTTACATAACTTTCTGTCTACAGCGGTAGCGAGAAATTAAAAAAAAGTATATTCTGATCACACATCCTGTTAGAGGAAGTAATTTACTACATGTAGGAACAAGATTTATCCACTTTTGGGGGTATCAGGGCCCAATTTTCTGTCGTCGATTCAAACTCCGTTTTTTTGTCGCAGCATTACAATACTTCCTCTGTACTATGACCAACATGTCATGAAGTAACTAGTGTTTTTACCGAATGGAACATACTATCCCGTACTAATTAGTTACCTTATATCTTCAGTCTGTTCCATCTTTTCGGTTTTGCTCCACCCTCTTCTCAGCTGCCATCTATTGGCCCCCTAAAAGACATTTTTTCACGTTTTCTCAATTTTTCCCCGGATCCCTAATATAGGATGGAAAAAGGAATATTATAGAATTTAAAAAAAAACACGGTTGTATGTACACATTTTCATTGACAAATTTCTAACAGGTTTTAATAAAATGAGAGTATTTAAAAATACGAAATTATCTTATCCCAAACTGTCGAGTTTTCGAGGAAGTTCATAAGAAATTATTTTAAGCAATTGTGCTCGCAAATGCGATAATGTATTAGAAATATACGAAATGTAAATATTAACGTGAGAGCTATCTAACAAACTACATTTGTGTATTTTTTGAAAAAACAAAAATATCCATCAGAGGTTGATATCCACTTATTCAGTGTATTTATCACTATCCATTCAAGAAATTGAAAGAAAAAATTGGAGCCTTTGGAGAAAATGGCGTTTGAGCATTTCTGAAATTGTTCTATTTTGAGTTTATTTTCACAGAAAATATTGAGTTCTGAAGAAATTTCACGAGGAATTATTTACATCCCTTCCACTTACAAGTGCAGTAAAGAATAAAAACGCACTGTTGTGATTATTAACAATGTGAGAGATATTTCAAGAAAAGTATAATTATGTAATATTTTAAAAATCAAATAAATACATAAAATTGTCATGTTAATTAGTTCATTAAGCACTTTACAAAGAAAATGTTTAAAGACAAAAATTGGAACCTTTTTGAGAAAATGTGTGTTTTGATATTTTGTAATATTGGCCATATTTCACTCGAAATTCCGCGAAAACTTCTAATACTTTCAAAGCAATGAATATGGCATTAATTAATTAAATTAATTGTGGTAAACAAACTACATTTTAAGAAAAAATCTCCATCTTCAATGTAGTAGTTTTAGGAAGATGTCGAAAGAAAGTCAAGCTTTTGTAATTTCGACGTATTCCATCTTTATATGTGTATTTCACTCTTTCTTACAAGAATTTTAAAGAACGTTTTTGAGCTCTTTTTGATTGATTGATTGAATGGCTGAATGGTTATTGATTCCGGGCGCGTCAACTTCTAAGGTCAATGGGCCTGTAAGTGTAGTGCATGTGTTTTCCTCGGGAGGTGGCGATGATCTTCCCTTATGTGTTTCTCCGATGGTGAGATCCGACACCGATCTTCACGACGGCTAGCGGGGTTGCCTCAAACAGGTATCTCTCACCTGCATTGCACTGCCCCCGACTGGTTTCCCCACATGTGTGGTAGTTTAGTGCATGTAAATGTGTGTATAAGGGGACCAGGAAGAGGAAGGAAATATCGCGCGCGGTCCGTGACCCGTTTGTTAGGTACTGTTCCGTTATTGGGCTGGTGTTGATCGGAGAAACCACAAAAAACTATCAATTTTCCGCAGCTGTCCGCTAGAATATTCCTCCAGACAGCAGATGGACACTAGCTATCCAGTTAGTGTCGAAAATTGCAGCCATTGACCTCCCCCATAGACATTGTAGAGGCTTCAGTTGATGCTCTGAGTCACCTAAGTCGATGGAGTTATTTTTGAAGAAAGTTTGAAATTGTCTCAAACGCTTCATGTAAAGTACCCCCAAAATTTAAAGATTGTTATTCAAAACCGCAGATGTTCGAGTCGGGGCCAGATCAACAGGACAATATTCAGCTTGCAAAAAATTTGTGGATAGTGAAGTCGCTAGTGTGTTTACAGACGGATAGACAGAAGTTTAGAAGGAAAAAACAACGATTTTTCGGTATTGGGGGACCCCAAAACATTTATTTCTTTTAAATTCTCGAAATCAATTTTCCGCAGCATAACACACCTTCTTTTGTACTACTTGCAGTAGCGTGCATTCGATGGATTGAAGGGAATGTGTCATTCTCTGAAATAAAGCAAGAGAAAAAATCATTTCTGTATGTAAGACATTCGTTGCTTATGGCCAGAGAAAATCTGTTGATTTGTGTCAGGTCCTGAGCTAAGAAACAGTGGTTGAACCGTAACAATCGACGTTTTCAAAACGGTGTGTAGATTCGTCTCGTGACGTCAGCGAAGCTTCTTTGTTCTTAGAGAGGAGCAACTTCGTCATGTTTCGTTGGAAGTGAAGTCGGTCCGTGAATGCGCGAGGATGAGTTTTTCAAGACATTTTGTTGTGATCGGCTGGTAGCTATTTCAAGTTCGAAATAATTTATTGTTTTGGCTTTTTGAGAGTGTTTGATCTGCGTGCTTAATTCATCATAATACAATGGAAGTATAAAGTATATAATAATATCGAGAACGCTTATGTTAAAGAATGTGTTCTAAAAAATCTAATTCATTGCGTTCTGTTCTGCAAATCTCCCTTGCGGGAAGGGAATGCCTTGGCAAATTCATTCCGCGCAGCTATTATGACATCTAGCGAGGAATATGGAAACCAGGGACAACTTCCTTCGGATGCGATCTGGAGAATCTACGCAAGCACTCATTCTGAACAAGGAATTTTGAAGAGGAGAAAGAAGTAATAGAAAATGGTAGGCCCGTGCCTGACTTAGGGAATGCGAAAACAGTTACCAATAGATGCGTTCGCCATTTTAATGCTGAACAATACAATACAATGTCTGTGCGGATGCAGAAGCACGTCGAAACAGTATTGCTGGCACGCACAATGTTTTGAAATGAAATAAGTGTGTGTGTCAGTTGGATTTGATGACATGAACAATCTTTTGAAAGCAGCAAGTCGACACCAACATTCACAGGCTCATATTCGAGCTGAAATATCGCTCACTACGTTCTCTACATCCAGAGTTGATTTTCAGCTAAATCAACATCGTAAAAACGATGTAATTAAATACAAGGAAATGGGATAAGGGTAAGAAGATAAGACACAGAAATACTTAATTATATTTGTGTATGATATTATCAGGCATTTAAAAAACGACATTTTCACTGTATTTTTTCTCCCAGGCTGTCTTACTTTTGCAAGCAAGACGCGACCTCTCCCAGGTTAATATTCACATTTTATGAGAATTCATGTCATCATTAATTGTATTACGTTTTTTATACCTTGGCATTGAAAAGTGCTTCCCCAACTAAAATTATCACCGCACGCCACTAACTACGTGTATTTTCCGTACATACATAAAGAAATAAATATAAGAGGTTCTCAAACAAATGCACATAGAGTATTAAAAGGTGTTGTAGACGAAGTTCTAATACTGGAATTAGTGGAATTCAAGATTTGGATAATGTAACTAAGGACGTCCCGCTTTCAATGCATTATCTAAAGGATTAGGATACTGGTATTAATGCTAAACCATGTATTAATATTGATTATAGGAAAGATGAACAGAATGGATTCCATTGCCGTGCAAGTATAATCGTCCGTATCAGGTGTCTCCAAACTTTCTTCTTCTGGGGACCGGATCGGAAGTTTTTACGAGCCTCGAGAGCCAAAATTTAATTTCACGATAGGACGGAATTTATCGTATAATTGTTTGATTAAATTTTAATTAAAAACAGTTATCAATTCACAAATTAATTCTTAAAATACGTGGGCGTATGAGCACACAATTCTTGACATAATATTTATAACAATTAGTACACATTTAGGGCAACAATTTTAATTTGTGGCACAATTTTTGTTTCTTCTATTATTAAAATGTCTCTCAAATATCACATAAGTTACATCTGTGCCTCTAGAATGGCTTATGTGTAGCGTACGTACTAGCTTGTTGTGGTCCCGGGTTCCATTCCTGGTCGAGGCAAAAATAGAGTTGTAGCCTTCCTTTAAAATCGTCTCAGAGTCTGTAGCTATGTGATGAAATCTCAGCTGGCGGAGTT